ATAGAAAGGGACCTGGGGGTCCTGGTCAATGGCAAATTGAATATGAGTCAGCAGTGCCCTGGCAGCCAGGAGGGCCAACCGTGTCCAGGGGAGCATCAGGCAAAGCATCACCAGCCGGTCAAGGGAGGGGATTGTCCCTCTCTTACCTTGAATATTGTGGCAGTTTTGGACACCACAATATAAGAAAGATATTAAGCCCTTAGAAAGTGTCCAAAGCAGGGCAGCAAAGATGGCGAAGGGGAAGCCTTGAGGGGAAGCCGTATGAGGAGCAGCTGAGATCACTTGGTCTGTTCAGCCTGGAGGAGACTGAGGGGAGACCTCATTGCAGTTACAACTTCCTCATGAGGGGAAGAGGAGGGGTAGACACTGATCTCTTCTCTCTGGTGACCAGTGACAGGACTCGAGGGAATGGCCTGAAGTTGTGTCAGGGGAGGTTCAGGTTGGATATTAGAAAAAGGTTCTTCACTCAGATGGTGGTTGGGCACTGGAACAGGCTCCCAGGGAAGTGGTCACAGCTCCAAGCCTGACAGAGTTCAAGAAGTGTTTGGAGGATACTCTCAGGCACATGGTGTGACTCTTGGGGATGGTCCTGTGCAGGGCCAGGAGTTGGACTCAGTGATCCTTGTAGGTCCCTTACAACTTAGTATGTACTCTGATTCTGTGATTACCAACTACTGTTTAGCTCGTATTGAACAGGCATGATGACACAAGTGGATCCCAACCAATCTGGAGATAAGAAAGTCAGAAAAAGTAGGACATTGCACATGTGAGATGCAGTGCAGCACACATGAAGAAAAGCACAGAGACAGCTCTGGGACAAGGGGAACAGACAAATGGGATAAGCAGCTGGAATTGAGGTAAACTCTGCTGGCAGAGGGAGCACATTATGCAATAAGCAGATAGGAAAAGTCAGAGATGCAACTCTAACTTAATCTGGGGTACATGCCAAAGAATCCTATCACTAACATTAGTAAGATGCACGAGTCTGTTCTGTACATAAGGGTGAGCAGAAAAATCCTTTAAAGCATGGAAACAAAGAGGAATTCTCATATGGACCCTGACAGTGCTACAGGAAGATCACTGCCATGTAATACAGATGGCAAACAGCCATGGGGAGCAGATGACCATGACATTTAAGGGCAAGTTTTTGAAGAAAAAGAAAAGTAGCTAATTTTTTTTCCCCAAATAAGATTAGAGGTCAGTTGCAGTAACTGCTTCCCACACAGCTGTTCTACACTTTAGGGCCTCCATACTTGGCAGTGAGAATGTGATGTGTGGTTGGAATAGTCCCAGACATCAAGGAAGCATCTTGCCTTCTAGCAGAAAACCCATTATCTGTCCACGCTTTAAAATGCTTTTCAGAAGCTTTATGCTAAGAAATTTTTATCATCTTGTCTGTATTTAGCATACTCTCAAGACCTTCCAATTATTTCCCATTTGTACCGGGCAATCCTCCTAGTCCCACATAATTTGGGCTCCAACCAAGACAAAAGTAACACACCCTCAAAGGACAGGTGCTGGACTGGAAGCCTGGGGATGACATGAGTTAGCCTTCTTCATTACGACATCCACAGCTCTCTGTACTTTACAGTCCCATATTCTTGAGAAAGTTCTGCTGCTTTCTCACAAAAAGTCAGATAAAACTGCCATCCTCAGCAAGCTGACCAAATTCACAGCCAAAAACTTTAAGTAAAGCTGGGAATAGATGTCTGTCATGGATACACTAGACCTACCCTTGGCCAGCACATTCTTACCATTATCAGTCCATCAGTCAACACACATAGCAGGTTTCACTAATTCCAAAAACAGAGGAAAAGACTTTTCATTCCAGTATTTGACATGGATGTCCAGCAGTGCTTTCTAACTCTGTGGAACTACTTTGAGGAGTCTAAGTAAAGATAATTCAGCAACCAAAAGAAGTTAAATTAGCAATGCAAACAGCTGCTCCTCGGTGTGCAGAGGTGTCAAGGCGGGGCTTAAAGGTCTCAGAGCATTACAGTTGAGACACATTGCTGAACAAGTATTTGTGACAAGAGACTTAATGAATTCTTTTTTCAATCACACTACTAAAGCTCAAAACTAGACTGAGGCTAAATTTAGGAAGATGCAAATTATAATAGAACTAAAATGCTTTTACTTGCATTATAAATGATTTTGAACAGTGTCACCTTCAAATTCTCAAACCCATTAGGACTCTAGTCCAGAGAAGGATATAAGCATGTGCTTAAGCTTTACAATATACAGACCCTCCAAATGCTGGTGGACCACTCAAGAATATCAGTGTATCCTTTCCTTCAGTATTTTGTTAGGTTGGGCCACAGTACATCCAAGAGTGTTTTGAGCACAGGTGGGAGATATTGAAACCAACTGTGCACAGTCGGCTTTTCTGTTTACATGGGTTTTTTATATAGTAACATTTTAAAATGTTTCTATACCACAATGGTGTTCTTTAAAGAGAAGAATACAACCTTTAGACAGTGTCAGTAGCTAAAGATAATCAGCAGAAGGGCAAAAGACTTATATTTCTTTTTAACTCATTAAATAAAATGAGTTTTTAAATTGGCTGTTTCCCTTTGATACTCGGTTTGGTGAAATTAATTTTCACCTCTAGAAAGAGAACCTTAATCCCTACAGAATCTTTTAAAATTTTGTCTCTGCCAGTGCACGCTCACAACACACCATCGATGCTCAATGCTAAAAGTCATCAGGGTATCAATGGACAGGGAGGTCTTAATCGACAATTTAACTTCACGGACATCAACAAAATCACTTAAAAAATAAAAGGTTTTCAGGATCAGATGCATTAAAATTATTCTGCACCTAAATTAGTAGCAGTCAACAGAAATTGCCTTATTTTTCTAGAGATTGTACAAGTTCATAAATGAGCAATGTCTGACCTGAATATTTAATACAAGCAATTTCTTTTCATAAATCTATACAGGACTAGAACAAAATAAACCTTTAATAAATACATTTAATAGTAAATGTTTTAATAGTAAATGTTTTCAGGATTTGGCTTGTAGAGAATAGCAATAAAGAGAGGAAACAGAGATACTCACTGCACTAACTTTGCCTGCTTTTTAGTTATTTATCTTTAGATGTAAATGTAATTTTTCTCATGTACTTGCTATGAAAAATTTCATTACTGTTCCCAAAAAACAGCATTATCCAGTATGACAGACCAAAGGAACAAAATATATCCACAGAAAAAGTGCCTGTAAGCTAAAATAAACAGTTACTACAGAATTCGTTGCTTCTACAAAGCCTGGAAATAAAACCTGTCAGAAGCTGGACAGTTAAATTTTGCAAAAGGAATTAAAGTAAATTGCCAATAGGACAGTAACAAAAAAACAGAAATATATTATCTAATTCTTTCTAAAAATTAAATTAGTATTTTGCCTCAGTACATAAGGCAAAGGAGGATGGATGAGTAACAACTCTAGAAACAAAAATCACCACATATGAGCTGGAGGTAAGAGCTGAACAGTAAAGTCCAGTAGATCAGATGATGCTAATTCTAAAACACCAAAGCATATCATGCCACAGAAACCCAGTATCTTTCCTGATGGCACTCTGTAAAGAGCACAAGAACTTGAAGTCCAAGTGGAGTAGTCAGGGGAATGAAAACCAAACCTTACAAAAGTAACTGTAACAATGACCACAGGTATTTCCTCGGGAGTAATCTTCTCCTTTCAAAATAGAATGCTAATTATGGCCCTTTTGGTTACTACATCAAATGGACAAAGTTTTGTCAAGGTTGTAATTAAAGATTAATGTTTCAGAAGGAGGTATGCGAGGAAGAGGTATTTTCTAGGAGTACAAAGCACGGACTTACAGAGGCAGACCTGCACAGTGGAGCTGACTCTCAATAGGAACGCAACAGGGGCTTCTACTGAAACGTGAAACCACTCAAATCTTTTAACTTTTGTATAAATAATTTCTGTGGTACCGGGGAGGAAAGAATTGAATACATTCAGTGTTTTTCCGTGCACTGCTTATGGCAAAGTAGGAGAGAGGGTGACTGCTAAAGCAGAGAGGAAACACAACTGGTTACACGAGTTTTACTTCAAAGGGAATCCCCAGCTGACTGTTCACACAAGCTTTCTATTTCCTCTACCCACTAGAAATGACGTTTCTGACAAGAGTATGAATAAAAAGGTCAAAGGAGAGAGAACTATCACACTAGACAAAGAGAAAAACATTCATCTTGACTGCACATAATCCTTGGCTTAGATGAGTGAAAGATTTATAATGAACAGCAAAACTTTCATTTTGGAGGATTCTTGTTCTCTGTTCTCCACTCTTAACTAAAAATACCAGGGTTTTGGAGCTTTAAAGGTTTTTTTCCTAGTGAAAACATTATCACAGATCTAAGATAGAGAAATGGGTCACCTAGAGTTTGTCTTTGAAAAGTAGCTTTGCAGTGCCCCTTTTACTGTGAAATAGCAATGACAAAACTGTTAGTAGTGATTCCAGATTTAATGCACCCCCTGCAAAATGTCCAAATTGAAGCACTCTAAAGGGGTCTGATTTTCAGCAGGGACAGTATTTAATAAAACTGCATCCCCTAACAGGTGTCTCAAGCTTTGTTCTCAAAATCTCTACCATTATTTTAATATATCTTGCCCTAAACATCAAATAAAACACAACGCAAAGAAGCAGCATGAGAATGAAAAGTCATTTTATTCACCCACTTAAGAGGCCCTCTCCATCTCATTCAACAACATTAAAGTTTCTAGAAAACTGTAGGGTAAAACCAACTGGAACACAATTAGTCTTCAGTGTTACAAAAGCAGGGACAATGTTTTCCTGGTATTTACATTTTCACTGAATTTATCATTTGAGACAGTGAAATGATTGGAATGAAAACAGCCTGGCCTAGCCAGAGGAGCTACAGCTCCTATAATGAAGATAGATATTGACAGTAACTAAGTCAAAATACGTAGGTCTACAACTCATCTGTCAGATTCAAGATATAATACAAGAAAGAATATACTTACTGAAACTTTCCACAAGGTCTAAGGCAGTCTTAGTAGCAATATCCATTCCAGAGTTGATGAAGGACTGGGAGTTCTTCAACGAAGAAAGAGCAGTATCAATTATGTTGAACGGGATTTTTGCACCACCTGACATCTTGAAATTGTTACTCTAGAAATAACAGGGACAACATTTTAAACACAGTTTAAAATGAAAAGAATTTGGGAGAAAAACATAAGTATAGCTAACCATAAAGCAGTGTCAACAGAAGCACTGAAACATCAGGGAGCAGGAATGAAAACTTAGCTCCCAAGATGTCAGTAATTTCAGTGAAACTGCAATTCACCACAGGTTTTCAATTCACCTCCTATTCAATATTAAGCAAAACTACACACCACAAAGCAATTGGCAGTTTTCACCTATTGCTCATTCCTACTGCTAAACCACAATGAAGTTCAAACTCAGTGATTATGTCTGCTTGAAAATTACTGTTCTATTTCAGGTCCAAAAGAAGATCCAAAGAAGCCAACTTGCCCAAAAATGTGTCTGTGTTTTCTAGGTATATTATCAACTAGATAGAAATATGACTAGAAAGAAATATGATTTCTTGCATTCAATTCGGCCTCACCAGCAGTTGGCCCTTGGAAAAAATAATCTGACAAAAGACCACTTTATTAAGAATGTACTTAACAGTAAAACATCTAGCAATATTTTTAAATAAAAGCCCACGTTACAAATGCTGCCTACTTCCCCCAAGGATGCTACAAACTTTTAGTATTCATATTCCATTACCAAAAAATAAAGTCACGCAGGTACCATGTTTATCTTCCTTACCACCCTCTGGTTTTCCAGTACACATCCACAACCTACAGCCTTGTGGGGATTAACTGCTCCTCCTCTGTCATTAATACAACCTTCAAGTGGTTTTGCTTATGCTGTGCCTATCCACACTGCTCACATCTGTTGGTTTCTTCTCAGAAATCCCAACTTCTGCTCTTCCTTCTTCATGCTTTGCCATAACTCACTCAGACATGTAGCTACTGTGAGAAACATGAACTTGGTGTGTAGTATTTTATACTTCACGTTGTAGATTAGAAAAATTCTGATTCAGCTTTAGATACACCAGAAAAAAAAGAAAAACACAACAAACAAAAAGTCTTAGATAGACAGAAATAGTGCATTAGTCCATATAAAGAATAACTAATATGTTCAACAACTATATTGAGATGCTGTTGGGTGAAATAGAGAGCAGAATCCACAATCAAATTTGGGGTATACCAGAAGTTTTATCTGAACAGTACACAAAGTAACAAGGGGATAAGTTGTTCCATCAACAGCAGCCTTTGACAGGCTATAATCCAACAGCAATCTGGAAAACATCTAAATAGAAAGTACAATGCTTTGCCCAAGATTTGCATACCTTAAGCTGTATCTCCCTCTACTGCTTTCCCTGAGGCTCCAGAATTACATGTTGTACTCACCCTAACCCGAACAACATTGCCACATTCCTCACCAATACCATACAGACTATGAGACTAAATACCTGCTGTCATGCTCTCTTCTCTCCTAATGTTTATTTCTTGTCCTTTTTTTCCATTTATAAAATGTGCTTAGCCAGTCAATACTATCTTTTAGTACACCATCTTTAGGTCATGTGCTTCCAGCAACATTTTAACAACAGCCCAACTTCATCACAACTTGAACTGCTTCATTACATATAAATTACCTTCCTCTCTATTCCCTTCTAAAGGTGCATCTTGCCACAGAGGAGGGAGCAGGCTTCAACAATAGCTCTAGTTATGTCAGCTCATACTCTCCCTGCCAAAAGACAGTGATAGCTATTATTAGAGATCTTCGTATCTGTCAAACTGACAACAGAAGACAAGAAAAAAGTTCCTTATGGAACTCCTTGAAAGTACAGAAAAAGGATGCTCTTAAAGATTTAATAACCAATGTTTAAGTACCAGTTTGCCATCTTAGCAAAACTGTATAGAATCTCTGTAATCAAACATACACTATTAAATAGTCACAAAAAATCATGTTAGCAGCTTTATCTTGCTGGGTCCAATTAGTGTATCAAAGTCAACAGCCAACAATTCCCTTCCTGAACTTAGTAAATCTCACTGAGAAAGCCTGCTGTTCTTTTGGATTTTTCACAGATACACACTGTGAAAGCAGGAATCTGAAAAAAAAAAAAAAACAACAGTGAAGTTAAAAAGGCTCCTTCATTCTTTTGACATTTGTGGAAGCACTGAGTAAACTACACAGGAGCAGAAGTTACTGGTCACAATATTAAATCATGCTAGTACATTGGTACTTTCATCTATTTTGTCTTTGGAAAGTAGTCTCTTTTGGATGGATTTTCCTTTTTTTGCTTTTTTAATAAAAGATTATTTTTCTTAGAAACTGCTTAGGATCCTGTAATGCCCCTGCCCACTCAACAAGTTTAGGGGAAGGTAGTTGGATTTGCCCTGGGTGGTGTGCAGGAGAAGCAATCAAATTCTCAGAGGGTTCAATAACAACTTTTACTTGTAAACTTTAGAGTATTTGAGTAGAATAAGGTACTTGGCAACATCCAGACAAAGTAAGGCACTTTGCAAACTTTAAATCAGCAAATTTTAGCTTATCCAGACAAAACAAAGCACTTACTGGAATTTTGTGGTCTGGCTTACAATGTATTTTGAGAAGAAGGTAGGAGAAGAAAGTGAGAGAAAGAAAAGAGAGAGAGAAAGTTAGATAGTCACCACCCAAGGATCCGGCATGGTCTCAGCAGCTTCTAAAGCCAGGGCAATGGACCACATTTGGCACAGTGTCACCATCGTTTCACCTGCCCCAGTTTGCCATTTTGGGGCTTACAGCAGGCCAGCTCTGTTCCCCCACCACTTTCCAACTTGGTTGTTTTGAGCCAGTCAGCTGTTCCTCCACTCTCCTACATCAAAGATTTCACTCCTGGATTTTCTAAGTGAACTCTTCAGCTTCAGCTTGCAGCTGTCCAATCTGCCTCCCGAGGAAAGGCCACGTTCCTCACTTCACTGGGTTCCACAGCAGTGTTTTTAAGGCACTCTTTTTTTGCCATGAAGGTCTTCAAAGGGTGCATCAATGAAGCACTCATAATTTGCAAGCCCCAGACCCTGCATTTCTGAAAAATACAATCAGCAAACTCAGCGCTGAAAAGGAGCCCAAGTGAGACTACCAAGGCCATTTTTTCTTCTTTCAACAAGTGATCAAATGGTCCAGACAAGATAAAGCAAAAAAACTTACAGTGTCTATTTTGTCCCTTAAATATTTGAGCTAATGTCCTAAACTCTCTACGCTTCAACTCCCCAAGAGATTAAAAAAAAAAAAAAAGTTACTTCTGTAACACCAGCTCTACCGGTGACAAGTGCCCACCGAGCACCAGGGTCGGTGTCCACCCCCGGGCACACTCGGTGACCCGCTGCCACGGGGAGACGATGCTTCCCTGCCACAGGGGTGGGAACAGCGCCCGCCGGGCTGGAAGCTCCGCTGTCCCAGCCCTGTCCCTGCCCTACCCCGTCCATGGGCAGTCACGCACAGGGGATGGGAAGGGGCCGGCGGGGGCAGCCGCCCTCGCCAGCAGCCGCTGCTCACCTGGTCCCAGCCGTGGCGGCCCGAAGGTGCTGCTGTCCCGGGCGGCCCCTGACAGTGGCAGCGGCGGCGGGCCCGCCGGGCACCGGGGCAGGCGGAATCGCCTCATCAGCCGGCGCCGTCATGTGACGGGAGTGCTCGGCCGCGTCGCACGGAGCGCCGCCGCCTCCCTCCATCTCTCCCTCCCTGCCTGCCGCCTCCTTCCATCCCTCCATCTCTCCTCCCCTCTCTCCCTGTCCGCCGCCGTCCCCCCGCACTGCCGGGGCAGGGTGAGCGCGCCGGGCTCGGTCAGCGGGGGGCGGCTGTGGGCAAACTGTGAGTTCGGCGGCGCCGGAGCGGGATGGGGTGGGGCGGGGTGGGGTGGGGTGGGGTGGGATGGGGTGGGGTGGGGTGGGGTGGGTTCAGAGCCCGTCCGGGCGCTGCGGATCTGGGCCTCGCCGTGCGCCCTGCGGCGGCGGCGGCGGCGGCGGCACCGGGGGCCAGGGCAAGCTCCAGGCGCCCGTTCTGGGCCAGAACATTTTTGGGGCAGCTCACTGTAATCTTGAATTTGTCGCAGTGGTTCGGAAGGTTTTTGGTGAAAAGTCAAGCCAGCTCAATAACTTCGCATGGATGTTTCTGAAATACAGGCGCTTATTTTTAGCAGTGGTGCGCGCCCCATCCTGCTGGAAACACGTCAAGGAACAAAACTGTGACCAGGAAATGCAACCACAGTGTGGAAGCGAGTCCTTCAGCAATAAGTAAAGGAACAGAGCTGTGTCGTTTCTATTTGCTATGAAAGTTTTCGTTGTTGCTGAAGTCCATTGCAGTCACTTTGTTTGTATTTTTAAATTGACTCTTAAAAACACATGTTGTGAAGTGTTTTTGCTTTCCTTGCTCTCATCTCCCAGTCGTGGTCACGATTGCTTCGGGATTTGTGACCGTTTCATTCTTCAGTAGTGCTCTTCAACTTTCCTGGTACAAAAGGTCACGCTTCCCTTGCCTGGTCACACAGGTCACTGTGTCAAACACAGTGTACATGCTGAAGGTGAAGTCAATGCATTTTTTTTTCATTTCACAAAGCTGTGATAATTTAGATTTCATAAATTGAAAGGTAGGAGAGTATTCTTAAAAATACACAAACTATCAAAAACACGAACACAAAGCACTCTGAATGTGTCTGGCTTTGTTTTTACAGGTTATTCATGGCACAGCGAGTTTCCTCATCAGGCTTTTTTGCTTAAAATAACCTAAAGATTAATGATTAGACTCGGACTGCAGGACCTGCTGCTCTGTGGCATCCAGCTCCACAATGGTGGATTTTCTGGCTGAAAACAATCTGTGTGGTCAGGCAATTCTTCGGATTGTCTCCTGTGGAAATGCCATCATTGCAGAACTTCTGAGACTTTCCGAATTTATTCCTGGTGTTTTCAGGCTAAAGGACAAGGCTGATCAACAGAAGTATGGGGATATCATATTTGATTTCAGTTATTTTAAGGTAAGTCCTTTTGTTGTTAAACTTCTTAAAGCATTGCTGTCTCACATGAGGATGCTTCGGGTTATGAAATAGCCATTCCTGACTATTGTGTTTATTACTAGCATTCTTCAGAATTGACTATCATGACTTGATTAGTTTTTACCAACAATTAACCAAATTGAGGTAGCAAGATGCTTGCATGGTAATGTTCTGCTTCTGGGCTGACTAGTGTTTTATATATATTTGATCATATTCAGCCTCATCTTACTCATTTCAACAAGTGGAAACAGTCTAGGAAGGGTTCTGTGCTTAGAGCCCTTGGCAGGATAGGAGTGCAACTGGTACCTGCACTGAAAGTATCAGGGCAGGAAGGGGGTGGCAGTTCTAAGTGCATTCAAGAGCAGTCCCAAAATGTTTGATGAGTCATCTACCCTGTGACCTTTGATAGATACTAATTATACAAAATGTGAGTATTGGATTCTGGGGAGGTGGTGGTGGTTGTTGTTGTTGTTGTTATTTCCTCCTGCAGAATTACTGCATTATACTTTCATCAGCAGGTTTTGAGCCTGTGCAGTTGGTTGTTTTCCTTCAGAGCAGTACTGTGGGCAGTATGCCCATCTTTCTTGGGTTATCTGTAGCTTATTCTTTGCAGCCATGAAAACTGAGTTCTGCTTTCCTGTCTGACAGTGCTGTGATTGTTCATTTGCTGGACTTGTCATGTGTGCTGAATAAATAAATCAAAGAGTAGTATCCATGGAAAGCCCGTATTTCCTTTCCAAAATTAAGCTTCTTGCAGGACTAAGTTCTCTCTGTTGTTTTCCAGCATGCTTAAGAGGGAACTACAAGACTATCTAATCTGACTTTATTTTGATTGTACAGCCCAAGAAATGTCAATAGTAAAGCAAGGGGAGGGACTTGCAAAGTTTTATTCTGTTTTATTTTAGTAAGAGTTGTAAATTTCAATCACTAACTGTAAGCCTTGGATGCTGAAAATCCTGAGAACAAATGATTTCAGAATTACCTTTAGATCGAAGTGCTTGTTAGGAGTCTTTTTTTTTACACAAATTACTTGAAAACTTCAAAGCAGATAGGTCTAATTGGTAAGAAATACAATAATCCTTAAAACTGTAGTAGTTTTGAATGTTAAGGAAGCATAACAGTTTTTCAGTTATAATCCCAAAAATCCAGAGAAGTCCTATTTATAAAGCTGAGATTAGTGAATTTACAGATATTTTTACTGTGAACGCACCACTTCTGTATTAATGATTCTTAGAATCATTAATGCATAGAGAGATTTGAGATTTTGAAAGTTGAGACTGTTTACTTCGTACATTTGAACTTCACAGGCAGTCTGGGGTCTGCTTTTATCCTTTGTTTTTTTATAGCAGAAAAGCATTCTTAAAAACTCAAGAAATTGTCGGCTGGGTATTTTCAATTAAATGTTAATAATATTTTCAATTAAACATTAACAGTATTTTCATTTAGATGGTGATGGTAAGACCAAGTAGTGGTTATGAGAAATGTGACAGTGGTAAAGAGTTAGAAAAGTTATATTATTGCTTTAAGGAAGTCAGACTGTTCGTCCTAACCCTTTTTCCATCACAATTGTTAATGACAGTTTCTGCCTTAATCTGAGGGACAAGTGCTGAGCTAGACCCAGAGTCTGTAAAACAGGTCTAATACTTTTAAGCAATTTGAATGTATCAGAAGCTACTAAGCTTTGTGAGCCCTCAATGTCATGGTTTCTATCTGAGAAATC